AGAGAGAGAGAGAGAGCCCTGGGAGCTCTTATTTGATTGCTGATTGTCAATACTGTACACTGAGCTAAAAACACACATTTACGACATACAGGGTGTGTGTGTGTGCATGTATATGTGTGCATATATATGTGTGCGTGTTCGCGTGTGTGTTTGCTTGCTTGTGCATTCACAGAAGAATTTTTTTTCAGGCAGTCAGTCAGTCAGTCACCTCGGTCCTGAGTGATGGCTTCCCTGTAAACTTAACTCTCGTTCACGGAAAACTTCACGTCAGCCACACTGCTTAGTCGGTATTATTACTCTCGTTGTATTTTCTGGACTTCTGGAGTTATTCAGTCATATGTGTGTGTGTGTGTGTGTGTGTGTGTGTGTGTGTGTGTGTGTGTGTGTGTGTGTGTGTGTGTGTGTGTGTGTGTGTGTGTGTGTGTGTCGTGTCAAGTACCCTTAAGCAACCTAACCTGATTTACCATAACCTGGGGTAGGAAGTTAAGCCCACACACTGCCTACCTTAGTTACCATCTCTGCCCCTCGCCCCACTACTTTCTTCTGTAACCATAAACTGATTACAGTTCTTACGAAATATGATTACAACATATTGTCCTCAAAATAATAGTATCATTTAGAGTATTTAAATGTGTTAATGACAGATGATTATATAAGTGTAAATATCATATTTTACGTAAAGAAAGATGCCATTTGTGATGTAACGTGAACTATAGGATGTGTCTAGTGTCAGGAGGCCAAAGGAACTCTCAGAGGAAGACTATACGAGTTTTCCCTCTCAAATATTAAAGATGTCAGACCCAACACGTGCAGGTGAATCAGCGTGAGTGTTAAGATTCATACTTTGTATACAACAGCGTCATGGGGAGGTGGAAGATAAGAGAGAACATATGGATAATTTTACCTATCAGCTTAAAATTTTTCCTTTAGTTACCTCTCCACACACACACACACACACACACACACACACACAAGTCGTACCTGGTGACCAATAATCAATGTCATTGTTCCTACTTTCATGTTGTGACAGTAACCCGCCTCCCTCCCACCCCTCACCTGCCACCCCCCCCTTCCTTCAACCACCACCCACTCCTTACCCATCCCCCCGCCACCCATGTTAGGTGATGGTGGTGAAGGAGCGATGGTGGTGGTGGTGGTGGTGGCGGTGGTGATGGTGGTGGCGATGGTGATGGTGGTGGCGGTGGTGATGGTGGTGGCGGTGGTGATGGTGGTGGTGTTGAAGAGAAGGATGATGGTGATTTATAGTGAAAGTGATGGAGAGAAAATGGTAATGGTGATAATGTGGGTGATGATGGTAGTAGGAAGATGGTAATGATAATAATGATGGTGGTAGGAAGGGATGATTTTAATGGTGGTGGTGGAGAGGTGATGGAGACAGTGGGGGAGAGCTGATGGAGACAGTGGGGGAGAGGTGATGGAGACAGTGGTGGAGAGCTGATGGAGATAGTGGTGGAGAGGTGATGGAGACAGTGGGGGAGAGCTGATGGGACAGGGGAGAGGTGATGGAGACAGTGGTGGAGAGATGATTAATATAGTGATGAGAAGTGATGGAGACAGGGTGTGAGAGGTGATGGAGACAGGTGGAGAGCTGATGGAGACAGTTAGGAGAGCTGATGGAGATAGTGGTGGAGAGCTGATGGAGGTGGGAGAGCTGATGGAGACAGTGGTGGGAAAACAGTGATGGTGATAGTGGTGGAAAGGTGATGGAGATAGTGGTGGAGAGCTGATGGAGACAGTGGTGGAGAGGTGATGGAGAGGTGGTGAAAGGTGGATGGAGACAGTGGTGGAGAGCTGATGGAGACAGTGGTGGATAGGTGATGGAGATAGTGGTGGAGAGCTGATGGAAACAGTGGTGGAGAGGTGATGAATATACTGATGGAGAGGATGGAGACAGTGGGAGAGGTGATGGAGACTGGTGGGAGAGGCATGAATATAGTGATGGAGAGGTGATGGAGACAGTGGTGGAGAGGTGATGGAGACAGTGGTGGAGAGCTGATGAGATAATGGTGGAGAGGTGATGGAGATAGTGGTGGAGAGCTGATGGAGACAGTGGTGGAGAGTTGATGGAGACAGTGGTGGGAGAGGTGATGAATATAGTGATGGAGAGGTGACGGAGACAGTGGTGGAGAGGTGATGGAGACAGTGGTGGAGAGCTGATGGAGATAGTGGTGGAGAGGTGATGGAGATAGTGGGGAGGGATGGAGACAGTGGTGGATAGGTGATGGAGATAGTGATGGAGAGGTGACGGAGACAGGGTGGAGAGGTGATGGAGGCAGGGTGGAGAGCTGGATGGAGATAGTGTGGAGAGCGATGGAGGTGGTGAGAGATGGAGACAGGTGATAGGGATGGTGGAGAGGTGATGGAGATGAAGTTAGGAGAGTTGATGGAGACAGTGGTGGAGAGGTGATGGAGATAGTGGTGAAGAGGTGATGGAGATAGTGGTGGAGAGTTGATGGAGATAGTGTGGAGAGGTGATGAATATAGTGGTGGAGAGGTGATGGAGACAGTGGTGGATAGGTGATGGAGATAGTGATGGAGAGGTGACGGAGACAGTGGTGGAGAGGTGATGGAGGCAGTGGTGGAGAGCTGATGGAGATAGTGGTGGAGAGCTGATGGAGATAGTGGTGGAGAGGTGATGGAGACAGTGGTGGAGAGGTGATGGAGATAGTGGTGGAGAGGTGATGGAGATAGTGGTGGAGAGCTGATGGAGACAGTGGTGGAGAGGTGATGGAGATAGTGGTGAAGAGGTGATGGAGATAGTGGTGGAGAGCTGATGGAGATAGTGGTGGAGAGGTGATGAATATAGTGGTGGAGAGGTGATGGAGACAGTGGTGGAGAGGTGATGGTGATAGTGGTGGAGAGGTGATGGAGACAGTGGTGGAGAGCTGATGGAGATAGTGGGAGAGGTGATGGAGATAGTGGTGGAGAGCTGACGGAGATAGTGGTGAAGAGGTGATGGAGATAGTGGTGGAGAGGTGATGGAGATAGTGGTGAAGAGGTGATGGAGATAGTGGTGGAGAGCTGATGGAGATAGTGGTGGAGAGGTGATGAATATAGTGGTGGAGAGGTGATGGAGACAGTGGTGGAGAGGTGATGGAGACAGTGGTGGAGAGGTGATGGAGACAGTGGTGGAGAGGTGATGGAGACAGTGGTGGAGAGGTGATGGAGACAGTGGTAGAGAGGTGATGGAGACAGTGGTGGAGAGGTGATGGAGACAGTGGTGGAGAGATGGCCAATTGGTCTATGGTGTCCAATAATATTTCTGTATGTGTCAGTATCTTTTGGTCAATTTGAGTGGCTAATATTTTTTCCTCTGTACCTGATTGGCTCCAAGGTCATTTATATGTTATTGATTGGAAACAGCATAAAGGGTGTTCTGTGATTGGTTGATAGCAAAATCATTGGTGTCCTGTGATTGGTTGGTAGGATGTTCAATTATAGTTCATTGGTGTCGTGTGATTGGTTGATAGCAGGATCATTGGTACCCTGTGGTTGGTTGAGGCTTAGTGATAGGTGTTCCGTGATTGGTTTGTAGCACGATTGGTTCGTTGTTCTTCTGTGATCAGTTGTTTGCCGTCAAGTGTTGATGTAATTGGTTGGTTTATAGGTAGATGGTACAGCCTGCAGTGTAGGTTGGACGGCCATTGTTGTGTGGAATTGGAATTGTGGTGCTTTGTGGCTGTCAGGGGAGGCCGCTGACGCCACGCCAATCACTTTGACACCGTAATTTACTTTTGACATTGAAAGGACATGGAGACAATTTTTCATATACAGTGGAATCAATGCACCATCATACACCATCCCTGCATATATATATATATATATATATATATATATATATATATATATATATATATATATATATATATATATATATATATATATATATCTTGATAAAATCACACGGGAAGATGGAAACAACGGAGTACCTTAGCTTTCGTCTTTATTCAAGATTTATCTTATCCACGTTGTCATTGTGGATCTACATGAAATATATATATATATATATATATATATATATATATATATATATATATATATATATATATATATATATATATATATATATATATATATATATATATATGCAAGTAAATCACTGTAGGTGCATTAGTAAGGATAATATAAGTACATTCAGGTGAGTACAGACTGTACTCACCCCTGAAGATGTGAATTACACGAAAGCGCTTGGGAACTTCGTGTTTTCTTTTTTCCTTGTGGTTATCAGCATATATATATATATATATATATATATATATATATATATATATATATTTATATTTAATTTTTAGTCCATATAACACGCGGACTTTGAACATATAATCAATGACCTCACCAGCCAGGACTCGAACCCTTGACCTAATGCATGGGACCAGGGAATTCTACCAACCATACTACAAGAGCACTAAAAGCAGTTCTAGACTATGTGATATTTCACACAAAGCCTGTTCATCGAGCTGATGGCACCGTGAACCTCTCATTGGGAACTGCCCATGCTGCTTATGTGGATGTCAGTAGCATTTTACCGAATCCAGCTGGTATGAAACACGAGGTACCATGTATACTTCATTTTTAGTCCATATAACACGCGGACTTTGAACATATAATCATATATATATATATATATATATATATATATATATATATATATATATATATATATACATACATATTACATATATATATATATATATATATATATATATATATATATATATATACATATACATATATACATATATATATATATATATATATATATATATATATACATACATACATACATATATACATATATATATATATATATATATATATATATATATACATATACATATATATATATATACACATACACATGTTAGTGTTTTCTATTATTGGAATTTATAATTGTTCTTGTTTGATGTTTACACCCATCAGCACTTGTAGTACCAGTTTGTGAAGTAAAAATATTAATGTTGTGCTTTCTCCTTTTTCAGGTTCTCTCCATCGACGGAATACGATGCACAAAATAAAAAAAGGAATCAAAAAGAAGATCAAAGGAAAGAAGGAAAAAAATGATGAGTTATTTACCCCAGAGGAATTAGAAAAGTATAAACGAGAAAAGGAGGAGAACGCACGTCGTCTTGCCGAGCAGCAGCAACAGCCGCAGCAGCAGCAGCAGCAGCAGCAGCAGCAGCAGCAGGAGCAGCAGCAGCAGCAGCAGCAGGAGGAGAATAGCGAAGAGCCAGAGCAGCTCCAGCAGGAACCCTCAGCGACTACTGAAGGCGCTACAGCTGCTTCAGACGCTAAAGAGTCATCCTCAAGTGGCGGAGACAACGACTGGAGGAATTTCTTCGCTGCCACCGACACTGTCCTCAAGAAGACTAGTGATAATCTCGTACACATCAAGGAGGCGAGTTTTTTCCATAAAAAGGAGGAGAAACCAGCCGAACCCACCACCGAGGTTACTTCCGTCTCGGTCACTCCTGTAGCTCCAAGCGGCGGGAAGAAGTGGGTTGACCTCGAGGCAGGAGGTATCGATGACGGGAATGAGGTAGAGGAAGAACGTCAAGAAGAGCCACAGCCAGAACCTGAGCCTGAGTCAGAACCAGCACCACTTCACTTCATAGAAGACCTTCCTGACGTTGACCTTGATGATTTCACCGAGGTCTTTGATACCACCTACGTTGATAATGTAGAGAGCGGTCAGGTGAAACTCCATTACATCCCAGACAGCCCTACATCAGCTGATCCAAACGAACCGGATCCCTTTGACACTTCTGTTGTCAATAAAGTTCTTCATATCGATGAGCCCAAGAGGCCAAAAGTAATCGAAACAAAGAAACCAGAAAAGAAAAAGAAACTTGTGAATCTTGGTTGCGCAGTTGAAGTTTTGACTGGTAATGTCCAAAGCGCCGAACAGTCCACAACTATCGCGAATTCAAAACGCCGTAGAGTGATACAAAAAGAGATTAACTTGCTCTCTGGCGTTTATGATGATGAGAATGGTGTAAAGACTGGCGAAACTAGTGAAAAAGAAGAGGATAATCAGAAAACAGAAGAAACTAATATCATTGACATTTTCTGTGTTGGAGACCTAGACGTTGATCTTCCTGAACCAGGTGTTGTCTTATGTGCCACCCCTCGGTCCTCCTCACCTGTCGTTCCTTCTACACAAGACGAGGACAAAAAATCTACCAGCGTAATTGTCAACAATGGTTGTGAGGGCGAGAACAAAGTAGTTGACTTAAGTGAATTTTTAGAATCTTTGGGAGAGGATCAAGATTCTAAAGAAACAAAACCCGATAACGGCAAAGATCTTGATCTGAAGGATCTTGTTGCTGAATTTGATATTATAGACAAATCTGAAGTAACCAACGAATCTCTAGTGGTTGCTGATCAGGACGCCATTGAAGACGAGTTTGACGCAGAATTTGCCTTTTTGGCTGCTGAGTCAGTTGCTAAAGCTAAGGAAAAAGAAGTAGAACTTGAGGACGACCCATTTGACACTTCAGTTGCAGCTCAAGTACTAGGACCAGAGGATACTACTGTTGAGGTAAAGGATCCATTTGACGTTGGGTTTGCTGACGAGGCATTAAGAGAAGAGAAACAGAAAGTCAGACCCGCGAAGCCACCACCTCCACGGCCAACAGCGCCCACCACCCACGAAGAGACTACTGAACCAGAAGATCCGTTTGATACCTCGATAGCAGATAAACATTTGCCGGTAGATCCATTTGCTTTAACAGAGCCCGACAGCGATCTTCGTGAAACTTTACAGCCACAGTTAGAAAGTCGGCTAAAAAAATCTGACAGTTTTGACCCATTCGACACTTCAATTGCTGATAGCTTCGGCAAAACTGAGCTGAAAGTTCTTGAGACTGAATTAATCAGTGGCCCAGAAGCAGAAGTTGCACAGACTCTAAAGAAGACTAACTCTGACTTTGATTTCAACCCCAGAGCAGAAGAACCTCTAACAGAAGTCCCTGTCAGACCTTCACTCCCAAGTAGACCAGCAGCTCCGTGTCTACTCACTAGCACTGAGAACGAAGAAACCTCAGCTCCCGTTCTCGCTCCTCAGGATTCTCAAGTGGATGACTTTGACCCATTTGATACATCCATTGCTGCCAAAGTTGAAATACAGACTTTAGAAGCTGAATTTCTTATTCAGCCAGATCAGGTACAGCAGACAGAAAAGCAGGAATATCCTGAGGTAAAGAAGAATCCCCCGCCTCGTCCTGCAGTATTTCAAGTCCATCTTCTTGCTACAACACCCACAGACACTAATCCATCACTACGACCTGCAGCTATAACTACCGAAGTTCCAGAAGACGACGCATTTGATCCTTTTGATACATCAATTGCTGATAACTTCGGGAAAACAGAACTCAAATCCCTTGAGGATGAATTTTTGTCGACTCAACAAAGCACACAGGACGTAGGTGCAGTTACTGCCAGTAATCCTAGAAGCAAAGTACTCAAGTTACCAATCAAACCTATTCTACCTTCCTCTCCTAAGTGTCTCCTAGCAGCTACACCCTTGGACGAAGTGACGCCTCTTCAGCCAGCACTTGAACCAGCATCCGAGTTCTCTGAAAGCCAGCTTGACGACTTTGACCCCTTCGATACATCTATTGCCGATAAATTCGGAAAGACTGAGCTGAAAGTTCTCGAGAGTGAGTTTCTCGTGACTTCATCTTCTCAAAAGGTTGAAGACGAGGGAAACTTTGATCCTCGGGCGGAAACAGAGGCCCCAACCAGACCCCCAAGACCCTTTAGACCTTCATCCCCAGCCAAGCCCCTAAGACCTTCTCAGCCATCATCCCCAGCCCTGCCCCATTGTTTGTTAACTGCTTCACCAGCAAGAACTCCAACAGACTTCAAACTCCTTGCTCTTACAGAGTTAAAATCAGTAAATACAGACGAGGAACTTGACCCATTCGATACTTCCATTGCTGAAAAATTTGGAAAGACAGAACTTCGGCACCTGGAGAACGAATTTTTGTCAGCTAAGGAACTCCCTTTATCAAACGATTTCGACGAGTTTGATCCAAGAATAGAAGAAACTGTAAAGCCTTTAGCTTCAGCAAAGCCTGAGAGAACTGAGAGACCAGAACGTCCACCTCCTTGTCTCCTAGCTGCAACTCCTACTGACAACAGCGCTCCACTTCAACCAAGCCTTAGCGTAGCTCAGGAGCCTCAAGAAGGAACCACTCCCGAAGACTTCGACCCCTTTGATACTTCCATTGCTGACAAACTTGGTAAAACCGAAATTAAAGTTCTTGAAGAATCTTTACTTTCAAAAGAAAACGAATTAGCCTCGAGTGACAAAACAGGTTTCAATTCACTCTCAGTATCTAGTGATACATCAACGCTCACGACTGATCACTTCCTCAGCACATCACCCACACCAGGCCTAGGACCGACCCTTCAACCAGTTCCAGAGACAAGAGGAGAGAAACCTGTAGAGCTCGATCCTTTTGATACATCAATTGCTGATAGATTTGGTAATACTGAACTGAAAACTCTCGAGTCTGAACTTCTTTCCGATTCAGGAACCAAAAGGAACTTGAGTGACGACGAATTCGATCCTCGAGAAGAGAACAAAACCCCAAAGCGGTCACCTCTTCCAGTTCAAAAGTCGGCAACTCCAGTGAATCTTCTGGATTCTTCTGACGACCATAATATTTCTGACCAGCCTATAAAGGCACTGCAGGCAAAGTCAGTGGAAACCACTCTTGATGATTACGATCCATTCGATACATCAATAGCTGCTGACATTGCGCCAAGCAAAGTTGAACTAAAATACCTTGAAACGGAACTACTGAGTGCCTCTCAGGATCCCTTTGATACTTCTAACGTTCTTTGAATCTCAAGATCGCCAAAATGGATTTCAGTGGGAACGTGAAGAATCCTTTCCTTTTCGACGACCCCGCACCACCAGCTGATGTTGGAGATGCTGCCATCAACCCCTTCCTTATGGGAGGGGCATTTGACTATTCTGAAGCGACTTATACTGGCATCAATCCATTCAGTGATCAGATTGATGACTCTAATGCCGCTGCTGCCGGTCTCTTTGGGGACCCGGTGTCGTACCCCACCGACATGAATCCCTTTGGTATTGTTGCCTCCGATATATCACAGCCTTTTAGTGAAGCAACGCCACAAACCCAGGCAGATTTCTTTGGCACACCTGTTTCCCAAGTAAATGAAGTTTCAGAAGATCTTTTCGGCAGTCCAGTGTCGCCTCCAGCGGTTTCACAGGTGGCCCACCATCCCCCAATGCCTCCAGCCCGACCGCCTGCACCATCCTCCCCCATTGTTGATCTGATGAATGACGGTCCCATTGCACAAGAGGTCACCACAGCCCCAGGAAGACCACCACCACCAAGGCCTCCACCTCCATCCAAAGAAACAAAAGATCTTCTACAAACTGTTATAGGGGCCATGGAGGCAACTACAGACACATTACATGAAAGACTGAACACAACCAGAACTCCATGTCCATCACCTGGGAGTGGCGCAGCCAACTCTCGCAGCCCCACACCAGACATACACGTGACCTCTCCCCAAAAGGACCCTGATGCGTTCAGTGCCATCTTTGGTCAAACTATAGACATGAGTGACCCCGAGATGGATGACACTAAGGCTACTACCAATACAGCACCGCACCCTACACCTGCTACCTCAGATGAATTTGACCTCTTTGGTGACTCTCAACCTTTAAAACCCAGAACCAACCAAGATATTCTTAGTTTATTTAATATGCCTCAAAGAAAACAATCACCGCAAGTTGATTTATTATCTGATGACTTATTGTCGTCAGCTTTATCCGCTGAAAAGAGTGCAGCGGATAAAGAGACTGCCACTGACCTCCTCTCTGGTGCTCCTGTTGATGACTCGAAACCTGCCAGTGTGTTATCTGGAGAAGAGGTAAGCAAGGCCTCGAGTATTCTCACCCCGTCTGACAAGGAATCTGTCTCAAGTGAAACGCCTGCAATTTCAGAATATTTCCTTCCTCCTGACAGTCAAAGTGAAACAACGCAAATGGAAGAATCTGTATCCCCCGAACAGACCAGTGAGCAGACTGACAGTGAACCCACTGTGATTGAAGCAACTTATCAGGACATTAATGAAGAAGCTAACAAAATACCTGTATTAGGTACAGAGACCCAGGATTCATCTTCAGCAAACGAAGAAAAGGTGGAAGCCATGGAAGCGTTTGGCTCTCCTGAGCCAGCTCCTCCAACAGTGAACAGCGAACAGTCAAATTCTCCAGAAGTGTCGAGTCACTTGAGCACCCCAGTAAAACCTACACAACCCGAATCAGCGAGTGAAATCAATAGTTTAGGAGATCAGAGCAAAACAGATGTTAGTGATGCGTTTGGTATACTGGATATTCCGTCTTCCACGAGTGAGCCAAAGGATAGTGCGATGGATGCATTTGGAGACTCCACCGCTTTTGGAGAAAATGATGCTTTTGGAATTCCAGACGCTTTCGGAGAGCCCTCCAAACCTGACTCTGAATCAGCATTATTTGGAGATACGTCGAGTTCATATTCGAGCACTACGACTAATAATGATGCATTTTTCGGCGCACCACAAACAGCTCCTCCAGCTGCAAGTCTTTTCGGCGACATTTCAGAACCTGAACCTCCAGCTTCTCCAGCAGCTGGTCTCTTTGGTGATATGCCTCCAGCTTCTCCAGCAAGCAGTCTCTTTGGAGAAGTTGCTCAGCCTGCGCCTCCAGCATCACCTGCGGCGGGTCTGTTCAATAACACTTCCTCAACTGGTTCCTCAGGTTTCGATATTTTTGGAAGTGAACCAACTACAGTTCCAGTACCACCAGGAGCAGACTCCACCGGGGCAGCTCTCTTTGGTTCTACAGCCCCAGCACCAAATGTCGGCATGAGCTTATTTGGAGGAGGTGATGAGCCATCATTAGATATCTTCGCTGAGAGTGATGGGAATACGATGGTCAATCCATTTGCTCCCCCGTCCAAAGTACCGACCACAGCGCTGCCCGTGAAGGCAGTTCCCACTTCTGTTGGTGGGGTGAAGGTTGCCACGGATGAAGAATTTGACGCCTTCTCTGCCAGATTCGACAGTGCTGTCGTTGAAGAGGGAGACGAGCTCCATGTCGACCCATTCGCCTCTTCAGTACGAGGTGAGTTTTAAAAACGGCCCACAACATATTTCGTCAGTGTTTAGGTCTTCAATATAAGAGGAACTAGAAATGGAGGAAAACTAATAACCTGGGGGCATCTTTCCTATAGTAATACTAAAAAGATGAAATCAGCTCACGTAAAAAACTCCTGGTAATTTTAATATTTTGCTTGAAGGAAATATATATCCAGATCATTCCATTTAGTTTAAATAATTCTATATATACAGTACATTAAGTCTTTCTTATCAACATGACTGCACTATTGTTTAGAAAAATCAAGCAGAATTACCATTAATATCTTTCTTCCCTCCCCCACAGCATCTTCACCTTGGGGCGACACAGGTGGACCAGGTGGGGTACCTACTGAAGGGTTCGGTTTTGGTGATAGTGCCACCTTCGACGCCTTCCTGGCCATGAACGAGCCGCCGCCCGTCCCACAGTCCACCCCACGTCGAGCTGCACGACAGACTTCGGCAGATTCGGACGAGGGACCAATGAGTGTGGTTATCAAGTCAGTACCTTCAGCACCTGGGGCTCGTCTTACTCACCCCAACTATTATTTTGTTTCAATATCTTTTTTTTTTAATTCAAACTGAATCAACATAACATTTACATGCTTTCACTTATCGCCTATTTCAGATATAATGAATTATCAAAAAATAGTTCTACTCATAACCTTTATCTCTCATAACAATATTCTTTTACCAAAATGTCAAATATTTATATTGTGCAATATAAGTTTTAGTTTGGCTGAGACAGTTGAAAATTTAATGATGTATACACTCAGTCTAAATTGTTTTTGTTATAATCATTATTGTAATAATAATAATAATAATTATTATTATTATTATTATTATTATTATTATTATTATTATTATTATTATTATTATTATTATTATTATTGTTATTATTATTATTATTATTATTATTATTATTATTATTATTATTGTTATTATCATCCTGGTGTGTTTGCAGGCCTGCTGGGCTAGAGGCGTCAGGAGCTTCCCCACGGGCAGTGTCACCAGTCCCAGTGTTGGCGCCGCCCCCCGCAGTTGCTGGCACCACTGCTTTCATCGATACAACACCCAGATTCAATCCATTTGACAGAGGGGCTGAAGATGTGGCTGAGGCGGCCATTGATGCTACCGGTGAGTCAACCTCTCATGCCCAACATATAGCACAATCTGTCTGGGTCTCTGAACCTAACCTCACCCTAGAGAGGTCACTGTGGGATAGACTGTCAACACCTTGATAACCTCACATCTTACGACTGTCAACACCTTGATAACCTCACATCTTATGACTGTCATCACCTTGATAATCTCACATCTTACTACTGTCAACACCTTGATAACCTCACATCTTACGACTGTCAACACCTTGATAACCTCACATCTTACGACTGTCAACACCTTGATAACCTCACATCTTATGACTGTCATCACCTTGATAATCTCACATCTTACGACTGTCAACACCTTGATAACCTCACATCTTACGACTGTCAACACCTTGATAACCTCACATCTCACGACTGTCAACACCTTGATAACCTCACATCTTACGACTGTCAACACCTTGATAACCTCACATCTTACGACTGTCAACACCTTGATAACCTCACATCTTACGACTGTCAACACCTTGATAACCTCACATCTTACGACTGTCAACACCTTGATAACCTCACATCTTACGACTGTCAACACCTTGATAACCTCACATCTTACGGCTGTCAACACCTTGATAACCTCACATCTTACGACTGTCAACACCTTGATAATCTCACATCTTACGACTGTCAACACCTTGATAACCTCACATCTTACGACTGTCAACACCTTGATAACCTCACATCTTACGACTGTCAACACCTTGATAACCTCACATCTTCTGACATCTTACGACTGTCAACACCTTGATAACCTCATATCTTACGACTGTCAACACCTTGATAACCTCACATCTTCTGACATCTTACGACTGTCAACACTTTGATAACCTGACATCTTACAATGTATGGTTTAGTCAACAGTTGGATGTTCACTCTATGTCTTACATAGAAAGATCTTTCCACAGCGCGTCCCGGGGAGCTGGAGCGAACTGACTCGCAGGAGACGCCGCCAACGCCACTGTTCGAAGAAGATCAGTCTCAGCCGCTGGAGCCCTACCCAAGGACTCAGCTGCCGGCGCCCATGTGGGAGATGCACCTCCGCCAGCCCAACAAGAAGAAGATTACAGGACAAAGGTGAAGTGTCTTACATCATTATCTGCGTGGCTTCACACTATGTCTCTTAAGTTTGTTACTTCTATGTTGTAGTTGAGACGTCACTCTGTTTTTCAAACTTTCGAAATCATAATTATGAACCAACATAATTTTTGCAGTTGTACATAACCAAAAATATAGCATTTATTTTTTTTTTATTAATACAGTTATGTGACAGTAACATTAAATTATCTTGATTGACAGTAGTTTTGGCAAAATTCTTAATTCAATAGCAAGAAGTATTATGAATAATGGTAAAATGCGTAAAATGAAATAATCAATAGAGAGAGAAAGAGTGCACTGACGGGGGGAACTAACACCTTGTTCTCCCCTGGACTCGCCAGTATTGGTCACTTCCAAAAGAAAGACGGACATGGAGGTTTGACGAACAGGTCAGAGAAGTTATTTAGCTGCTCCTTCCTTGTTTCGCTGTAGCTTAGTCCACGGCTCACCCATCCAGCTGGTTTAATGGCATTGATAACTATTACTAACGTGATGGCTTTGGCTTGAGCCCTTCTTCATCACCGTTCTCAGTTCTACCACGCAGCTTCATGAGTTTTACTGCTACCAGTGGCGCTCACAATAGTTAACTAGTGTAGATTATCTCATCCTTAACACACCTGCATTAGAGGACAAAATATGTATCTATGGTATTGCAATTTCTTTATTCAGTAAACAGTGCAGTATTCTAAATCAAATTCTATAGCAGTGTTGCGTGAAGCTACTTAACCAACCTTTAATTCATAACACCTGTGTATATAAACTCTAAAAACAATGAAAAACTGAAGAGAAAAGAGATGGAACTCTTCAGTTCACGATTAATTTATTCATTACAATAGAAGCTTCCCTTGGTACTTGTGACACATTCGTCTTTAATATTTACCTCTTCCCTTTTATCAACGTCTTGCTGTTACAACCTCTCAACAGCCACATCCCTCGTTAACCGTCTTAACGCTTATCTCTCAACGTTGAACTTCTGCTACGTGTTCAGTACAGTTAGTCAGTAAATATTCCAAGTGTTTGTAGCAGTTTCTAGTCAATTAGTAACTGGTATATAACTGTTGAGATACAGTTAGTAGATAAAGCTAAGCGCCTACTGTTGTAACGTATCTACAGTCAGTAAGCTTATAAAAAAAAAACTTTGTTCACGCCCCTTCGCTGAGGCTGTTCAACAAGTTAGAGTAACTTGTTGATAATATGGCTAGATAGCTGTTATCTTCTTAAACTTAGTCTTTGTTTTTGAAAATTAATAAAATGGAAACGATATACTTCCAATTATTATTATTATTATTATTATTATTATTATTATTATTATTATTATTATTATTATTATTATTATTATTATTATTACTTCATGATTATAATTGTAAAAAAATCCAGAAAATTCTATCTTTTATAATTTGTATTTGTTAATGGACGAGTGTAATTGGTAATCTTAAACACTATTAAAGGCCTTAGTTGTTGAAGTGCAGTAATAACACATATGACGCCAACGACTATATCTGCCACTAATTATTCCCTGTTATTTTTCTAGAGATGTTTTCAATATATATCACATTGACTAAAAGCATAAGTAAGCAACTGTTATGTTTGGGTGATGAGTGATACGAGAGCGGCGAGTATGGGAACCTTTACCGAGCCCTCTAAATCCCTCTTGAACCTCTTGAAACCCTAACGAAAATAACAAGTCAAACTGAAATGGAATGAGACCTGCATTAGCTGATCCTTTTATCGTATTTAAGCTACTTAGCATACGTAAGTTTTAGATAAGTTGTTTTCCTGAAGGGGTTTGTGAGTTGAGGTTTTGGCGGGTTCAGATGAGGGATGTAAAGGAGAGTGTCACGACCCCATGTTGCCGCCTCTCTTACCAACCATGTCTCGCAAGCGCTATTCTCCTCCTGCCAAACTATAACCTGGACAATGCTTTAGCTGGACCCCAAAAATAAATAAATCAAATCTGAACTTCACCTCATTAGTGAGAACCATATACTGTACTCGATGCTGACCGCTACCTTCTCTGCCCAGTGTGGTAATTAGCTAGCCACTGTTTTATTTTTTACCATTCTCGATTGGCTAGTGGTTATGTCCCCAATATTAGTTGAAATGAGACTGATTAGGAGTAGAATTAAATCTGTCTGGATATGTTGTTTATTTTATGTAGATTTCGTAAACGGATCTCGATATTCCATCACTTGAAGGAACACCTAGATGACCTTTACCACCTGTGTAGGATGGATGCATGTTACCTGTTGACTGTTACTTGCTGGCAAAACAGTCACATTTGTTACATCAGTTACTATTTTAATATTTCTCCTTTTTTCTGATATGCTAAAAGAAAGTCATTTGCATTGTTCGTGTGTTTTGGTCTGTATTGCGGCTTCTCGACATACAATATTTACAGCTTAGCCCATACAAACAATTTCATTTTATTTTCTGCTTTAATATCCCAGTTTAGACCAGTTTTTGCCATTTTTAACTTTCCACCTTACTCGTGAATACACAAGTCATTCACAGCGTATTCATTATCTAGTTTAGAAAAAAAATCTATATCTTCACTCATAAAGTTTCTTTTTCAATCTCCCATATTTTCGGAGATACTTACGAACTTCTCTTTATATTTACTGTTGACAGTCAATGGCCTATTGACGATATACAGTACAGTGAAACTTCCATATATTGGCTTCTCTCTCCATATAATCCGTGAGATGGGGGGGGGTCATATTTAACAGATCCTCGATTTAACAGACTTTCATCTCTATATGGTTCGTTAGATGGACCCTTCATACCGAATGGACCCTCATTATAATGGACTTTCCTCCCCATATAGTTCGTTAAATAGATGTTTTACTGTACACATATTCGTATAATCACGTCACTCCTATCAAACCATCGTACAGATTCATTTATCAAAGTCTCCCGTCATAAACATTTTCTTTTACTCATATTTTGCATTCTAAGGGAGACCCTTATATAGTTATTCTTCATCTTTATTAAACTAAACCTAACACAGTTCGGTACGCATCCAAAAACCTTCTGGAACTTAACCAAACAATCTAGAACTTACTCAAACAATATGAAACGTATCCAAACAATATGAAACTTACCCAAACAATATGGAACTTACCCAAACAATATGGAACTTATCCAAAGCCCTACCTAAATTAACTCGCTCTTATTCTTATATACACACACACACACACACACACACACACACGTCATCCTTGACCACTGAAGGGTCAAGACGTACCTGGCTCCTCTGAGAGCAGCCAGGTCAACTGTTAAGTTGATCCATACCAACTCCCTCCCCTGAACTCCTCCTCCCCACCGCAATATCGAGTTTTCTCCAAAAGTTACAATTTCATTTAGGAAAGGAATGGAACCAGTGTTGAACAGTGCTTAACAGTGCTTAAGTCAGTGAGAACAACTCAACAGTAACAGCTGAGTCGTACCCTGGCTAACCTTCACACAGTGAGGTCCCAGGTACCCGGTGATAACTCAACAACGAGCAGCGATGTGTTAATCCGTCCACGATAGGGAGGAATGGGACCACACCTCACTCATATAACACCATCTGTGAGGGAATTACTACACCACGTGAGGTCCCTCATAACACCATCTGTGAGGGAATTGCTACACCACGTGAGGCCCCTCATAACACCATCTGTGAGGGAATTACTACATCACGTGAGGCCCCTCATAACACCATCTGTGAGGGAATTACTACACCACGTGAGGCCCCTGATAACACCATCTGTGAGGGAATTACTACACCACGTGAGGTCCCTCATAACAACATCTATGAGGGACTTACTACACCACGTGAGGCCCCTCATAACACCATCTGTGAGGGAATTACTACACCACGTGAGGCCCCTCATAACACCATCTGTGAAGGGAATTACTACACCACGTGAGGTCCCTCATAACACCATCTGTGAAGAAATTACTACACCACATGAGGTCCCTCATAACACCATTTGTGAGGGAGTTACTACACCACGTCAGGTCCTCATAACACCATCTGTGAGGGAGTTACTACACCACGTCAGGTCCCTCATAACACCATCGGTGAGGGAGGTACTACACCACGTCAGGTCCTCATAACACCATCGGTGAGGGAGGTACTACACCACGTCAGGTCCCTCATAACACCATCTGTGAGGGAGGTACTACACCACGTCAGGTCCCTCATAACACCATCTGTGAGGGAGGTACTACACCACGTCAGGTCCCTCATAACACCATCTGTGAGGGAGGTACTACACTACGTGTTTGCTGTTCAATACCTCAGCCTATGTGACCGACGTGACCTCCACTGTAAACATTAATCTGCATGTTCACTGTATGTTCCTTTACCTTCCTTTAATGAAGGCTTTTGTTAAACCACCAATGTCAATGCATTTAATAAGTCATTTATGTCCAATGTATATTTTCAGCCTTCGGGCTGCAGAACTTTTTCAATAAACCGGTAATTATTATTATTAATATTATTACACACACACACACACACACACACACACACACACACACACACACACACTACTACTACTACTACTACTACTAATACTAATACTACTTTTTTTTTAGATATTTGACCTCCAGCCTCCCCCAATAGCCATACCTTCGCCACTATTTTATTACCTTAATATTAAATATCCTAATACATAAGTAGCTATCCTAGCTGTGTTGTGTTAGTTGAGCCGCACATCTATGAGGCATTCAGTGACTGTAGCCTCATAGTCAATATATCTGCAAATGTTGTCGGCTCTGGGGCCGATGCTCTCGTTCCCCTGAGGCACGTCAAAGCTGACCGAAGGAGAGAGAAGGACAGTCGACATCTCATCCAGGCTGTAACATAACTTCTGGGCTGCTGCTTCTGTTCGGATATCACCTCCGCGAGTCTGGAGTAGAAGCATCTTGCACTTGGTCCCATCCCACCAGAGGTTGTGAACACTAGAGAAATGAAGCTACCTTGATCAATG